TGAGGCGCCTTCGCAGTTAGCAAGCCTTGCCTCCACTGCCTCACGCCTTGAGTCTGTTCAGTGTTGGGTGGCCGTTCGGGCTGCCTCTGCAAGCGTAGGGTGGCTCGCGTCGCGCGCAACTCGGCAGCGCAGGAGCAGCTTGCATGTTGATGCAAGCATCCTGAAAACAACACAGTTTTCAGATGATGCCAGTCTGTTTGCGTGTGCCCTCCGCCTTTGCGGGCGTTAGACATTTGATCAATTTTTGATGAGGCTGTGAAGGCAGCCAGTTTCGCCTTAGGCCTAGCTGACCACCCCTCAGTGACCAAGCCTTGCCTACCCCCTGCCACATGATTTGAGTCTATCCAGTGTTGGGCTGCCTTTGCAAGCTCTACGCCGCACAGAACTCGGCTTGCATGTTAACGAAAGCAAGTTGAAAACAACACTTTCAACCATGCCACTTTGCTTGCATGATGCTTCTGTCTTTGCTGTTGTCAGAGTCTTAACCAATGAGGAATTGTGATGATTCACGCGTAGCCAGGTTTCGCCTTCGCCCTGCATAGCTGACCACCCCTCAGTGACCAAGCCTTGCCTAAACTCTTCCTTATGCCTTGAGTCTATTCAGGGTTGTTGGCCGTTGGGGCTGCCTGCGGCATGGCTGCTTACGTCGTACGGAAATTGGCCGCGCAAGTGTAGCCTGAATGTTGGCGAAAGCAAAACAACAACCTTTCAATGATGCTAGTCTGTTTGCATGACACCTCTGTCGTTGCTGGTGTCGGAATCTTGACCAATGAGAAGTTATGATGAGACACCCTTAGCCAGTTGTCGCCCTTCGGCCTACGTGGCGACCAAGCCTTGCCTGAGCCCTGCTTCATGCCTTGAGTTTGTTCAGCATGGGTTGCCACTGCCTTCGCAAGAGTGGCGGTGGTGCCAGAAGTTTGAGCAATGTGAAATGTGATGAGGCATGAGGGCAGCCAGTTTCGCCTTAGGCCTAGCTGACTGCCCCGAAGTGCCCAAGTCGGTGTTGGTTGTCTTTGCAAGCGTGGCTGTGGTGTCCGAACCTTGATCAACGATAATTATGATGAGGCTGTGACGGCAGCGTTTGGCCTTAGGCCTAGCTGACCACCCCTCAGTTAGCAAGCCTTGCCTCCACTGCCTCACGCCTTGAGTCTGTTCAGTGTTGGGTGGCCGTTCGGGCTGCCTCTGCAAGCGTAGGGTGGCTCGCGTCGCGCGCAACTCGGCAGCGCAGGAGCAGCTTGCATGTTGATGCAAGCATCCTGAGAACAACACAGTTTTCAGATGATGCCACTCTGTTTGTGTGAGCCCTCCGCCTTTGCGGGCGTTAGACAGTTGATCAATGATAATTTTGATGAGGCTGTGAAGGCAGCCAGTTTCGCCCCTTAGGCCTAGCTGACCACCCCTCAGTGACCAAGCCTTGCCTACCCTCTGCCACATGATTTGAGTCTATCCAGTGTTGGGCTGCCTTTGCAAGCTCTACGCCGCACAGAACTCGGCTTGCATGTTGACGAAAGCAAGTTGAACACCACACTTTCAACCATGCCACTTTGTTTGCATGATGCTTCTGTCTTTGCTGTTGTCAGAGTCTTAACCAATGAGGGATTGTGATGATTCACGCGTAGCCAGGTTTCGCCTTCGCCCTGCATAGCTGACCACCCCTCAGTGACCAAGCCTTGCCTAAACTCTTCCTTATGCCTTGAGTCTATTCAGGGTTGTTGGCCGTTGGGGCTGCCTACGGCATGGCTGCTACGTCGTACGGAAATTGGCCGCGCAAGTGTAGCCTGAATGTTGGCGAAAGCAAGCAACAACCTTTCAATGATGCTAGTCTGTTTGCATGACACCTCTGCCGTTGCTGGTGTCGGAATCTTGACCAATGAGAAGTCATGATGAGGCACGCATAGCCAGTTGTCGCCCTTCGGCCTACGTGGCGACCAAGCCTTGCCTGAGCCCTGCTTCATGCCTTGAGTTTTTTCAGCATGGGTTGCCACTGCCTTCGCAAGAGTGGCGGTGGTGCCAGAAGTTTGAGCAATGAGAAATGTGATGAGGCATGAGGGCAGCCAGTTTCGCCTTAGGCCTTGCTGACTGCCCCGAAGTGCCCAAGTCGGTGTTGGTTGTCTTTGCAAGCGTGGCTGTGGTGTCCGAACCTTGATCAACGATAATTATGATGAGGCTGTGACGGCAGCGTTTGGCCTTAGGCCTAGCTGACTGCCCCTGAGTCCCCTGAGTGCCCAAGCCTTGCCTGAACCCTGCCTCACGCCTTGAGTCTGTTCAGCGTTGCCTACGCAATCTCAAGCATGGCTGCTCACCCCGCACAGAACTTGGCAGCGCAGGTGAATAATTTTCATGTTGACGAAAGCAAGCTGAAACCACCAACCTTTCAATGATGCCAATGAATCGCATTGCAAGACTCTCAGTGTGCTCCACTGCATGCATGAGTGTCAGAAGCACAAAGCCGGATTTTCGCACGGCTTCCTGCTTGTGGCCGGTGACTGATGCCCCACTGTGTTGGGACGGGGTCACCTCCTCACTCGCTGTGAGTCAAAGATTTTGGTCAGAGCGTTTGGTCACACCTTGTTGGTGGCATCGACGCAAGCCGCAGCATGAAAAGATTGTGCCCGGCCAAAGGCCGGGCGGAACTTGAAAGCCGGCATTGCCTATAAGCGTGCTGGGTGGTGGGATATCTATCCTTTCTTGGCCCTTTATTTCGCCAATGGAGCCTGCTTACCGTCCAGAAGCGCCAAAAAGGCATCTGGACGAGGCAAAGAGGCTCGGCGCGTCGAACGCCGGCCTTCCCGCGTGTCAAACAGGGCGCCGTCTTGCGCGAGGCGAATTGATAGGGTGTACAAGCGGCACCTTACAGCAATCTGATCACGACTCATGCCGACGCAACACGAAACATTTGTTTGAAGTGTTTGTTGCTGTGTCAACAGTCATGGATGCAGGAAACACAACGGCACTCCCCTAGACGGATGGGGTCTTCTCTTGGGATCTCAGCGCGAGTCGCTGATGAACGTGAATCCAACTGCCTCCCGCCTGTCTTGGTATACCAGGGCCGTTTTAAGAAAAATGGCCAACCCAAAGGGTTTACATGACAATTTCCGCCTCAAGGTCTTTATCCACGGCTAAGTAGATGGGGACTTTTCCCACCCTCGGATTGCGTCCTCTGAATCAACCTAGGTTGTATTTCCAGATAAAACCTGGTTGTGCAGATTTCTTGGGATCATTCTGTTGCCGATGTAATCCCAGGGTGCAATAGGAAGATTCGCAGAGACAGGGCTCCCGGTCTCGCCCGAGCCCTCCGTAAGGCCCAGCCGGCGGGGCGGCCCAAGCGAGCGAGAGGCGACGAGGCGACCAGAAAACGACTTGCCCCAGCTGCATGAAGTCTTGGAGGCTTGCAAAATTGGGTTTCATGAACCCCTAGTCCAAATCCTTGTCCCCTGGCTTCCAAATCCTTACGGAAGCCAAACAGATTGAGTAAATCATTGGTTCTTTTCTCACCCAACCTTGGTTAGAACGCCTATGTCGTTGATGGGTACATGAGCAGTTTTCTTGCTGCCTGGCATCGGTGCGCATGGATTTTTCTCGGATTTCGTGGCTCGAAGGAACACCCGGTCCACCGCGTATGGTTCCTTTCCCTTGTTCGACATCAGGAAGAGCAACGTCAAACAGTGGCAACCAAAAGGTGATGTCTGGAACCTATGCTAGTTTCAACATGCGGCCACTGATCGATTCTTGGCCTCTTGTTTGACGGCTTTATGGATGACGCTTCTTTTGAGCATGGCTCGTGTGGATCACGAAAACGTGGGGTTTCTCACAAAAGAGGGTTCCCCCGCTCGATGGCACGAGATGAATTGATCCCACAAAACTTCCCGGCTTTTTGGGGGGATGTTCGAACCCAAAAGGAGTCCTAGCATCCATTTTCTGAGAGTGCCCTCATGCTTGTCCATGAGTCGCCCCCGTGTCTGGCTTCGAGCCCAGTGAAAATCGGATCCTTTTTCGGGGCTCCTCAAAAGATACCTTTGGCAACCATTTGAGCAAAAGGGCATATATGTGTGTATATATATATAGATATATATATATATATAGATATATGGTCAGCCCCCCCCTTATGAACTACCTTGCCTTCTTTCTTCATCAAATGACTGCAAAGACACCGTGTTTTCCATGCATATATATATATATACATGTACCATACTGTTACAACACACATTTAACACTACACACATCAGTTACTATCTTGGAATGTTCATCGCTACTATTGCGATAAACATTTAGCATTGCCCGCAGCACTTAGTGCGTTGTAGTGGGCAGCGCATTTAAACTTGCACGTCAGTTGCTACTCTATCAAGATCATAAAGGGCACAAGAGGGGCTGCGGAGCAAGAGAGCTCTTGCTACACATCTTTCCCTGGTTGAACAGCTCTGCAGGTGTTTGCTGTCAAGTAGTCTATGACTTCAAGGTGGTGGCGCGTGTCTTGTGAAACTCTGAGTCTTGGGTACAGCGGCAGGGGCAAGCTCAGTGTGAATCCACAATGCAACCGCTCAACCGAATTGAATGGCTGCTCAAATAGCAGGAATCCCCAAAATGGCACCTTGGTAAATGGAACCAAAGACTAAAACACGAGTAGCAATACCTCTTTATTTTGGAGCAAGGTCACCAACCAAAGGAAGCGTATGCCAGAAAAGTCACCCCAAAAAAAACAATCTAGTGAAGAAAGTGAAAACCTTTGTTTTTTCTTGAGACGCATTGTTTAGATCTCCCACCCGGAGATACTGCAGGAACCGTGAAGCCCTCAAAGGGCGGAGAAGATTTGCTTTCCCAAGAAGGACACGTTCTACATGTTCGGTTTGTTTGCCCCCGTTGGTAGTGAGAAGCCACAGATGAATTCTTTGACCTGCAAGTAGCTTCCTGGTGATCTTTGCAGTTGTCCCCCGTGAGGGGAGCCCAAAGAAAGGAGAAAGACACACCGCCCCCGCCAAACACAACTGGAAGACAGCAGCGCCATGTTCTTCGTGAAGTACTTGGACCAGAAACAGGGCGAGGCTCGTGCCTCGGCCTTGGATGCAAGACTAGCGGGAGCTTCTTGGATTCGTTGTGCGGATGGCAACTGAAATCTGAATTGTTCAGGGTGGAAAAGATGCAGTTGCTAAGGGAAGGATCCAAGGAATAACAGAACGGACTAGATCGTTACTATTAGTATTCCCCTGTAATCAGGAGTAAATCTGTTGCTTTGCCTGGTTAAGGCATGCGTTTCAGTTACCATGGTTCAGTGAGATTCCTTTTAGACAGACAACTCTTACGCCACACAATTCTTTGGACGCAACTGGAGTTTGTATGCATTTGTACTGCTTCCTTCCTTCAGAACTCGCCGGCACTTGTGACAGCCAGACAGCCAATACGCCGTATCACTTGCCGACCCCAGCCGGTACTTCACAGCCGAACGCGCGTTTCCTTTTTGCGAGGGTCGCTTTGTCCTTTTTTGCGGTGGTGTACGGGGTGGCTGTGTCTCTAAAGGAGTTCGTCCGTGCTCGGCTTCCTGGTTTCCCAGACCTCAGCGCCCAAAGGTTCACCTGGTTTCATGGAGTTTACAGGGAGTACAATAGTCTACAGGGAGTTTACAGGGTTTACAGAGTTTACAGGGAGTTTACCTGTGCTCAACTACCTAGTTTTTTTTATGACTGAGTAAATGCTTGCTGCATTTGGTGCGATGCTGACTTGCTACGTTCGCTCACCATGTTGTTACATAGATGCAAATCAGTAGGTGTAACCATCGTTGTGGAAATTTCGGTACAGCGCCACTTTCAGTGATGCCAAAGGAAACCACTTTTCAAAGTGACACGTAGTCATTTGGAAGGCCCACTTTGCTATCGCAAGGGTGTTTGCCCACACCCACAACAGCATAGGTAGGTGTCAAAATCGCAGATGGATCGCGAAATGTCCCGATGCCCCACCAAAATGGAAGCCAAACTGGCCTGTGGAGCAACCGCCACCCCAAACCCTGCAAAAACCCATCCAAAAAGGGAGAAATCAACAGGGGAACCAAAAGGAAACCCATTTGCCCCCCAACCCCCCTGATTCCCCATTCTTTTCAACCATCATTCCTTTCAACAACCGGCTGTTTGTTTCCCCTGGGTTTTTGATGGTTTTTGATGTTTCCCCTTTCCCTCTCCGGATTGATTTGTTGTTTGCCCCCCAAACTCCCCCCCCCCCTTCCCCCCTCCCCAACCGCACTCCCCCTTGCCCCCAATTCCAGCTTTGTGTTTTTCTTTGAGACGCCCCCCCAACCTCCTACCCCCCCCCCCCCCCCCGGATTGATGCTTTTTCTTTCAGCCGCTCGGGGAAAATCGGTGAGCCGAGAAGCCGAGGGGTGGTGGACCAGCAGCAGCTGCTGCGCGCGCGCCTGGAGAAGTTCCTGCAGCAGCGGCCCAGCGCCCAGGAGCTCCTGGACCGCGGCATCCTGGGCGTCTCGGCAGCGGTCGGTTTCGTTTCACACAAGATGCGGAGGTGTGGCTAAAGGGACGTCGTCCAAAAAATATATATATATATATACAATGGTGCCATTGTGTGAACTTCCATTTGTTGAAGAATATGTGTTATAACTTCCCTCTTGGTTGCAAAAGGAATCGATCACTACTGGAATATTTTTAGGTTTTTTTTTTTTTTTTTCAGGGGGCTTAAGCAAATGGAAGTTAACAAAAGGGAAGTCGAGCGTCAAAATGGCGCCACGGGTGGTTGTTGTTGTTTTTTGTTCGTTTGTTTTTATTTGTTCACGGTGTCCATGGTGTCCCTTTGAAGCCAGCGGTTTCAAACGAGAAGGCTGCATGTTTAGGGTGGGTGTTTTTTTGTTGGGATCCCTGTTTTCGGGTCGGTTTAGAGGGAAACCAAAGGACAGCCGCTGCCATTTTGGGGTTGCGCTGGCTGGTTCAATCAAATGGTTGCATCTCACGGATTTTGTTGATGTCCCGAGGAAAGACACAGAACACTTACTTGGCTGGTGCCGAGACTCGCCAACAAATTTTTTTGGAGGCATTCCCGAGAATTTCAATCAAGATGTGCATGAATTAAAACTAGGGACCCTGTGCGCAACAACTTCGGGGATTCACGTCCACCAACCCCTTCACTGATTTCTGACTAAATTCAGTTCGCCCAATGGCGCCAGGTTTTTTCTTGGGATGGGCACGCGGCCGCTCCCAAATTCCGCAAGGTCAAGCCCTCAGTAGGGTATGTCTTTGGGGGTCACCTTTGGAGTTGGTACACTTGGCATGGTTGTAGAGGGAAACGAAAGCAAACCAATGAGGGTCCCCAAAATTAAAGGCACACCCATTTGGAGAGGAAAACCCTGCAGTTGCATCCGGGGGGGAGTCGTAGGGGGGGTGGGCCAGGACATGAAGTTTCAAAAACGCGAACCTGAGTGGTTGGACATAAATCCCCAGAAATCATACCCAAATGGTGTCTTCCCTTGTTTCCATTTTGCAGCAGGTGGTCTTTCAATGACAAAAGTTGGAAGGTTCTTCCAGTGGCTCTTGGGCCTGCAAACCTTGCATTAACATGAGCATCTACTGTAGCCAGGAGGACAACATTGGACACACTCACCCTGCCATTATCCAGATGGCGCGGGTTCACCAAATTCCCATGTCAGATGCCCAGAAGGTCCAGAGTCGGTTGGGGGTTGGGCCCACAAGTGGGCTCTAAACGTCTTCCGTCCTTCTCAAGTGATACCTGCTTGAATATGAGTTTGTTTTCCTAAAAGTCGGGAAACCCCCCACAAGAATGAGTCGTTTTCCGGTTGTTTTTCTTTAGACCCACCAAGAAGGTCCCCAAAAACGCCGCCCCAAAACCCAGCGAGCCCTTGGCCAAACGGAGGCCGGGAGCAGCGCTTCGCGGTGGCCCAGCAGGTGCTGGAGGAGTTGCTGCGGCGCCGCCTCCAGGCGCGAGCGCCGCGCCCCGACGAGAAATCTCGGTCGCCGCGGAAGGCTCCGCGCGGGTCGGTTGTTTATTGGAGGAACCAGGCCCAGCGGAAGATGCTTTGTTTTTCCCCCAAGAAGCCGGGGATTTTGGGCTGGGTGCCGTGCGGGTCCCTTTTTTGTTGGGCGGACTCTGGGAACCATCGGGTTCTTTTGGGGGAACGTGCAGGTGGTGGTTTTCCCCGGTTTGTTGGGAGGAACTGGGCCCAGTTCATGAATTTTCCCGGGTTCCGTGCGGGTCGTTTTTTGGGCGGACACTAAGGAGCCGGTGTTTTGTGGGGGAAACAAGCAGGTTGTGCTCGTGTTTGTTTTTTCGGGGAGGAATTAGGCCCAGAGTTTGAGGAATTGTCCCAGAGAGGAAACCAGGGCGTCCCTTTGGGCTAGCAAGTTGGATCTGAACATTGCAGTCGGGTCTCTTTGGGTTTGTTTCGAATTTGCAGAAGGAAACCCGAAGGGGATGGGTGATTGGTTTAACTTGTTCAGAGCCCTACTTTACGCCCGTCCGTTCGAAAGTAAGGCCTATGCACGGGGAGGCTTCTCAAGCTGCTCTTTTGGTGGGAAAGCCGTGCCCCTTTCCATTTCACTAAAGGTTCTGTTATGAAGGAACCTCATTTCCACGCTTGACAAAGCCTGTTGAGTCATACTCCTGGTTGACGTTGGTCATCGAGAGATGACTTCCCCCAAACCACCATACAAAAGGGTATACCCGAAAAAATCGTGGACACCTGAGAATTTAAAGGCGACCCCTTGGAGCATTTGAAGCTCTGCACGAGCTCAGCAGAGGGGATTCTTTCTGCACGAGCTCACCCATGAAGGTGCCTTACGGGGGAGGTCCCCAGTTGCACAGTGGAGTCCGGACTTTGATTTTTGGTTTTGGAACTCAACCAACTAAAAAAGGATGCCGATTTGTTTTTCCCATGGAAATCCACTGAGCATTTGAGGGTCGACGGGCCTTGTAACGATTTGGGCAGACGGGGCCTTAGGAGACTAATCCGCTCCCCCTATTAATGAATGACCCCAATTAATAAAAAAAAATGGAAATCCGGGGCCCGGGACCAGATTTCCACTCCGCACAATTGATTTTCCATTGCGCCAATACTAAACCAATACTAAAGTCTTGGAATCCATATTAGGGGGCACTTTTAACAAGCTTCCAGCCCCACTTTTAAAAAGGTGGGTTCCTCAAGAGATGAGTTCCCTAAAAGGTTGCTTCCCCAAAAGCTGGCTTCCCCACTCCCCAAAAGGTTGTCCCTGGTTGTCCCTGACCCCCTGACTCTCTGACCTCTTTTTTTTCGCGCGGCTCCGTAGCTTCCTGCCTGGCTTCCTGCCTGGCTCTGTTCCCCCTTATAGCCAATCCTGCCTGGCCTCTCGCCTGTCTGTCATCATTTCTGTTCCCCCCAGTGAACAAAAAACACAAACTAAACAACTCCCTAAGCCAAAAAAACAGGAACAGACAGAAATGATGACTTGGCCTCGACGCTAAACTGCCTGCCTATCTGTGCTGTCTGGCCTCCCTACCGGGCCATGGCGGCAAGCTGTCTAGCTGTCTGCCTATCTGGCTTTCAGCCTCGCAGGCAGAGGACCAGCCACGAAAACGGCGGCCCTGCCTGCCTCAGCCGGCTGAAAAGCTCACCCCGCAGCCAGCGCCTCTGGTGCTCTCTGTCTTCGCCTGCCTGTTCACGGTGAGTTTTCTGCCTAGCTGTGCCCTGCTGACTGACAGCTGGCTGCCTTCCTATCACTGAATGCATGTCTGGCTGTCTTGAAACCCACACTGCCTTCTCGAGCACTGGACTGTCTAGCAGTCAATCACAAGCTGGCTACCTGACCTGCCAGGCTGCACCCCAAATGTGTTTTTGTTGTAATTGGGTCCTTTAAATATTGGGGTGTCCCTCAAAAGAAAACATGTCCCCAAAAGCTGTCTGGCTGCGACTGTCTCTCTCCCGTACATGCTGGCTAATTAACCTGCCTGGCTGCAAACAAACAACCAGTAAACTGAAAAACAAATAGAATGATACATCAAATTTGCTGATTAAACCGCTTACTCGCGGACCTTACAATTCAATCCATTTCCTCCAAATCCTAAGTGAACCCTCACATTGTTGGAAAAGCAAAAATACCCAACCCCAAAAACCCCAATTAAACAAAAACAATATATTTTGGGGGGGATTTATTTATAATGGGGGGGGGGGCGTATTTATTAATAGGGGGAGGGGATTAGTCCCTCAAAAACCCGATTGAAAAGAGGGTTGCGGCTACCATTGTTTGGGTCGTGTTTAAGGCCAACCACAGGGAAGCCGAAGGTCATTTTTGGTGGGTCTAGGCCCTGTGCATAACCATCCGGGGGCGCATCTTCTTCGGAAGGTCTTGAGCAACGAAAGGTTGAAAGTCTACGTCTTTGTGGCTTCCCAGTCGGTTTTTCTAGCAGGGTCCGTTAAAGGATACATTGGGGCCAATTAACCAACCAAAAGCTGTTGCAAGCTGATTTACCGAATCCCTCGTAAGTGGTGATTGGATCTGATTGGATGTATCCTTTAAGGAACCCTCTTACCATCTTACCGGGTTGCCCTCCATCAAACAAGGCTTCCGAGCCATTTCCCTTTTTGGAAACCTCCAAAGGTCGCCGTTTCAATGGAAACCACCAGGAAAAGACCGCCCTTTGAAGGCGAAATCCAGTGACCCTTGCCGAACAAAGACAAAGAAACCCAAACCATCGCAAAACGCCAGCATAAGCCAGGTGCATTTGGGTTGCGTTCGGCCAAATTGCGGTTCAAATCGCTAGTTTCCAGACGAGGTCCATAGAAGCCAATGTTTTGACCTTTCTGCGGGGAGGAGTTTGGAGTAAACCAATCATGAATTCCCCCTGTGGAGGATTCAGTTGTGTCTCGCAATGGTGCACCCCAAGCAGGTGTTCCCAACAGTTTCTCTTTCAAACAACACCATGCCTACCAACTCCAAAGAGAAACAATTAAGGATTTGGTGCACTCCCTTAACTCATCCATGTCTCTAGGGGGTGATTCCCCATTATTTTCAACCATCCGGCTGTTTCCTCTGGGTTTGTGATGGTTTCCTGAAAACAAGGATCCCTGGAAAGAATGGGGAAGGTGCCCCTAGAATGTCAGATTTCAGCTGCAAAACGTCAAAAGGTCCACTCCAAAGTGGCGCTTCGTCGAACGTAAAAGCCACACGAGCTAGGGTGGGCCCACGAGGACACGTTCCTCTATGGCGTTTTTCAGGTTGGACTCTCCAAACTGCTGGCGGTCCTTTTGGCTTCCCTTCGAAACCCCCCACAAAACCCCCAGGTGGCTCCCAGCCATCCGGTTCCATAGCTTCTTGGCCTTTTAGTGTTTAGCGGGGTTTCCCATTTCGCCCACCAAGAGTTGTTCACTTGTGGCGGGGGATCTGAGGACAGCTCAGAAACGGGTGCCAACTCCAAAGACAGACCCACGTTCTGTCGCGGAAACCTGACCACAGCTCCAGGCGCAGCAGAAGGAGTTGGCCACTCGGATGTCCGGAGGTCCGGCTGCCTTTGAAACAGGTGGTTGGCCATGGGAAATCCGCTTATATCAAAGGGGTCTTCAATGTCTAGTTCCCCCAGTAGCGCCCGACCTCTCACCCCTGTTTTGGTTGGGAGGGTTCCCCTACTAAAATAGACTAGAGAAAAAAGAGTACCCTTATTCTAACCTCTCCACTGGAGGACCCAGATGTTATTGGAGCAGGTGTTTCTACTTGTTTGTAGGTTGGTTGGTTCTGTTCAAATTTTGAGGGGGGCTGCAAAAAAAAGTTGTTTGCTGCCATACTAAGTTGTAATGTTAATGTTAATGTTGACCCGGATCTAAGTAGACCCCGTCCTATTTTGCGGGGGGGGGGGGGGGGGGGGCCCTCCAAAAGTGATCTGAGAAGGACACCACCCTATTGATAAACTGGAAACCCAAGGAAGATGTTGGGTTGGCCTCTCCCCAAACAGGTGGCTAATCACCCGCGACTCATAGAACCCCCCAACAACAAGTTTCACCACATCCACAGCTCGACAGCAACTATCAAGGCATCCCCCCAACGCGCAACAAAAAGAAGAAGAAGAAAACAACCCTGGAAGGGCCGTGCAAGATTCCTCCAATGCAGAGATGTTTTCGTGGTGAATTCATGTTTTTCGTCCGGATTCATCAACTTCCGATAGGACCCCTTGAAGGCAGCTGGTTCCCCGGCGGGTTCCCTTCGAACAGCCAGGTCACCAACCTGAAATGAAGCTTCCCCATGGAACCCTGATGATCCCAGGGTGAGCTGTGGGTGGACGAATTCCTGCACCACTTGGAAACAATGGTAAATCACTGTTGGCTGGTATTTACAGAGCAATCATGATTCCGGGGTTTCTTGGGAGGATTTCGTCCGTCCACAGTATCATTTGCCCTTGGTTTTGGCAAGACACCTCTTGCAGTTCAGCACAAACGTCCGGAAGTTTTCTTTGGGTCCCCGGAACCCCCATTTCGACCAGCGTCGATTTTTCAGCCAGGCCCCTTTTGGAAGGCGGCGTTGGAAGAGGGGATCCGATTGCGCAAGCACAGGACCAATGTGTGTGGCATCTAGGAGCCCATGTCTTACCGATGGGTCGCCCAAGTTGGAAGGAACCTTGCACACATTCAGAGGCATGTTCTCTCGGCAAGTTTGTCACTGGCAAGTTGTTTGCGATGAGGCCTCCTTTCTGGGCAGTCCCCTAGAAAAAAAGGTGGTGAGTTCTCCCCTCCCTCGCCAGAAACCTGTAGGAAGGCCGATGTTTGATGACTTCGCACATAGCCCCAAAGCCTATCCACCCACCAATTCTTCTAGGTAGCCCAGTAGTGCCCTTTCTCACCCCTTTTTTGGTTGGGAGGGTTCCCCCACTAAAATGTACTAGAGAAAAAAGAGTCCCGTATTCTAACCTCTGTACTGGAGGACCTAGTATTTGATGGGCAACTGGAATTTGAGCATTTTGAAGATCTCGACGAATCCAACCGGTTTTGGCTCAGCTTACGCAAGCCGTTATGGCTTGCTCTTCGTTGATTTCCCAGCTTCGTGCAAGAAGATCTCAATACAATATCGACCTCTGAAGAAAAAGCCCCCTTCCCCTGTCATCAATTCGGCAAGGACCGGAGCCAACCCTCCTTCACTCATAAACTCTTTCGCAAGGGGGTTATTGCAGCATGGTGGCCGGGACCAGAATGGCTGTGACCGACCCCCCATGGCTCGCACTATAGCTTTAAACCAGCATTTGCCCGTCCTCCCACCAACATTGGCACTTTTTCGAGGGTCCTTTGGAAGGATCAAAGAATTTCCTCTCCAAGGGACCGGGGGGCACCGTTTGTCAGCTGCCCTGGGCGCGGGGGGCACCGAAAAAGTCACCGAGGAGCGGCCCGGCGTCGCCGCCACGCTGCCGCCCGGCGCCGCGGAACTGCTGCAGGGCCAGGCCGAGTTGGTTGCCCTCGCTCGGTTTGGCGCGATCGTTTTCGGGGGGGGAAATAGATGGAGAACAACCTTCTGGGGCTTGGACCATCTTAGTGGTCAATGAAGAGTTTGGACCTTTTGTGGCCAATCCCCTCAAGAAGTGTCTATCTTTAAATTCTAGGGGTACCTTCCATGTCCATTCTTTCCAGGGATCCGGACCTTTCTAGAAAACTTCCGGAAGCCCCGGGAAAACGGATCCGGTGGTTGGAAAGAAGGATGGTTGAAAAGAATGGGAATTCAACCCCTAGAAATCGGCGGCCCGTTTTTGGTGGAAAAATACAATCAACGTGCTGATGAGTGAAGATGGTGGATGTTTTCCCTTGTTTGTTTGTTTTCTTTCACGGAGTCGATTTCACTGTAGTTTGGTTTTTTTTTCCAGGGGAAGAATAGATGGCCCTGGTTGACCTGTCATTCTCTACCAGGGCCATCTGTTTTCCTAGAAAGGACAACCCCTGCATTGTTGGGGGTAGCTGTTCTTGGCTCACTTTGTTGTGGTCTTTGGTTCTTTGCCGTAGTGAGGCTGCAAAGAATGTGCTGGTTTGGGTAACATAGCAAGGTTGGGGTAAGTTGGTTTTCGACCATCTCCGTTTAGGAAGCAAGAAAGCCCGACCATGTTCCATGTTGAAAGAGGTCCAGCACGTTTTGATTGCAGTGTCGTCCACGTACCTCAAACAAGTAGGTTTCCTTGGACACACAGAAACCTGATTGAATTCTTGAAGTTCGGGGTGGGATGCTCCCCCCCCCCCGCACCCGCCCTGGCTTCCTCCCTTTTTATTTTTTAGAAAAAGCTTATGAAAAAATTGGCTTTGGGGCATCCTCTCATTCTCGCTCTTGGGATGTGTTTCTGATTGGCAAACCGCCCACCGAGCGGCGAGCCGCGGCGAGGCGTCGTTGGCGCGGCTGGAGGAGCTCCGGGCGCTGAGGAGCGAGCGGCAGCGAGGGGTGCAAGATGCCCAGCGGAGGTGGGAGGAGGCCTCCAAAGAGCAAGCGGGGGTGGGGCGGGGAGGCTGCTGGGGAGTTTTGGGGAGGGGGGGGGGCGGCTGTTGGGGGGGCGGTTGGGGGTTGGGGGGGGCTGTTGAGATGGGTTGGGCTGGAAGGGAAGGGGGGGGGGAGGTGCTGGGTGGCGATGGTGGCGAGGGTGGCGATGGCCGGGTTCTGAATTCTGCGATTTCTCTTCGGGCTACAGAAGGTTCACGGATGGGAGCGGTCGGGAGCGGGAAGGGGATCTTTGACCTCCACTTCTTTGGGCCAAGAGAAAACACGGAAAGGTGAACCAACCGGTTGGAGGTCGTGCTTTGGGGTTGTGTTCAGAGGGAACACGGAGGGGAGGTTGGATACGGCCATGCAAACGAAATGGATTTTAACATGTGGTCTGGATAAGAAACTCTTTTGAAATGAGTTTAGCATTGGGTTTAACCATGGTTTATCAGGCAGGTGTTAGTTTTGCGGGGGAAAAGCTGAGTTACTCTGGGTCCCAACTTTGCTCCTTTTCCCTGTGGTCTCTTTCGCCACTTTATGCGGGTCGGATCTGACCCAGAAAACGCTCGGAAGCTTCGATGAGAAACCCTTTTGAGAAGCCCCGGCTTCTCTCAAAACCGACACCCAAAGAGCCGTTTCTGTGGACAAATCGGTGTCAGTCTTTTCTTGAAGGCGCCCTCCCTTTTCCACGGCTTGACCCCATTTTGGGGAGCCCCTATGTTGAGATTCACCCAGATCTAAGCCATGCGAGGCGGCCGCCGAGTGCGGCAGGCGGGTTGATTTCGGCGGGGGTTGGCTCCGAAGACTTCAGGAAATCCAACGTCATGGGTGACCCTCAACTCTCTTTTTGGCTTTTGGGGAAATCAAAAGGCACTGACCCTCAAGGCAACTATGGAACTTTTAAGGGACCCCCGGAAGAAAAGAATCCTGTACCAAGGACCCGTTGTCAGGTTCCATGTTTGTTTTTGGGATTCTCGCCCACGATTGTTGAAGCTTAAGAAGCCAAAAGGGCGTGGTTCCGATTTGTGTTTTCTTCCAAGCCCTAGAGTCTTTGGAGCACACATGTATACTTGGATGTTGGATTCTCCAAATTAGCAAGTGGTTAGCCACTTGAATGACAACCCGCGAACCCCACGTGGGGGACTTACAAGTGGGTTGCAGCCTAGGTTACCAACAACTTGCTGAATTGGCCGAACACCCCGGGACCGTTTTGGGGAGAATGCGGGACAGCCCCAGTCCCCGATTCTCTCATGTACTTGCGGGGAAGCAGCGAATGGTGTCCATTGCTCGGAGATTTCCGCAAAGGGTAGCTTTCCAGGGTGCGAGACTCAACCATGGCCCAAGACCGGGTTTTCCAGGTCCTTGTTTTTTCCTGGGTGACGACTGGAACATCCACCGTAAACGGGGGACCCTGAAAAAGCTGGCATGCACTAGACTGGTCCAAAACCTGGGGGTGGGCCAAAACTTCCAAAATAGCTTGTTTCTAACCAAGGCCTTTCACCAAGAAAGCACGAGCTTGTTTGTAAAGACTGGTTCCCTTCTTCATCTCAAACGCCCCCTTCCGGTCTTCCCGCGCGCCCCGCGCCAAACGCCCGCGAAGCCGCGAGGTGCGGCTTGGGCCCCACGGCGCCGCGCCTGGCGCAGCGCCTGCGGGCCGCGGTGCAGGGCTTGGAGCGGCGCCGAGAGGCCGAGGAGCAGCTGGCAGGCGGTGGTTGCGCTTGGCGCGTGCGGATTTGGCGCGGTTCGGAAGGGCTGGTCCACCCGTCAGGTGGTTTGGATTGGTTTGGAATCGGATTGGAACTGGTGGGCGTTGAGCCTGGGTTTCCTACATTCTCTGCCCAGCAAGTTGTTGGGACGTTGAGCCTCAAGGGCGGGAGTAGCTGGGTGTTCCATTCGCCAAGTAACCGTTGGGTATCCCACTTGTAATTTTTGTTTGGGGGAGGCTCAAGGGTTGTCTTGGCGCGAGAGATGCAGGGAATGAGACATGGAATGAGCCAGAGATAAACCATCCAACTGGTGGTTTCCGTGGGGACCAAAGCCTGGTCACCTGTCAGGTGGTTTGGATTGGTTTTTCAGTTGGATTGGAACTTTTGGCTTTGGTCAAGGCGAAATGTTCAGGACACCCCTCAGGTTGGTGGGATTCCTGAGTCACCTGTCAGGTTGGTGTGGGATTTCTGGGATTTGCATACTTTGCTTGGCTGGTGCGAGAGATGCAGGGAATGAGAAATGGAATGAGCCCGAGATAAAGCATCCAACTGGTGGTTTCCTTTCAGGGTTCATTCCCACATTCCCTGCTCACCAGCAAGTTGTTCCGGCTACCCGTCAGGTTGAACTGTTGGCTTAGAGGCTAAATGGGAGACCCCCCTGAAACCGGGATTTCCCCCTCTTTCCAAGATTCATCAGTTTACTCGTGGTGTCCATTGAAACGAGAAAGCCACCTTTGGAGTTGAACTGTACTCACTTTCGGGGCGAGCAAAAATTTCAGCTGATAGAAAGGGTTCCGAACGAGAGAGAAAGGTGCCCTGGGCTATGGCTCGAAATTAAAGAGCCAGGGCTGCTAACATTCCCTGGTGAGATCGGCTTCCCGCGAAGCGGGAGAGAGAAATGAGCCATGTGTGGCTGGAAAGCTGGTTGGATTGGAGCCGTTCCGGAGCTGGGGGTCTCACTTTGCCTCAATTGTGGGAATGAGCGGCTTCCGATTTCCAGCGGGACTAGCACAGTGACAAAGGGTTGATCAATGGGTGTGTCAACATGAGTTCGCTCAAAACCCGAAGTGAAGGTAGGGACAGCCCCCCAATGGGGGCGGATATGGCCTTGCGGAGCATCCAGTATCTTCAGGTCTTTGCCGCCTTCCGGGCGGAGGGGCACCAACTTTGGGCTCCGTGTAAGGAGTTAAAATGGCAAAGATATATGGCTGTGGTGGTCAAAACCAATGGGATCCCATTTTGGTGGGTAGGTGAATTCACCACCCATTTTGGTCTATTTTAGTGGTTGGATTGAATTGGATGTTCACTGGGGGTACGTAATCCTTACATGGCAAAGTGTTTGTTTTGGTTTCTCCTGAACATAGCAACCAAAAGACATTTCGCCTGGTTCGCCTGGCAACATCAACTTTTGCAACCCGAAGCCCGATTTTCTGGGTTCAAAACGGGAGGGAACGCCTCCCATAATTTAGCTGGCCCTGGATTCAAGCGTCGGAACTTGATTTGGGATGCAACTCCCCAGAGTGATCACCCAAATCACTCAAGCAATGAGTGATGGGGCGCAATTCTTGCTTGAGTTGCGCCCCCAAAACGGGTACCCCGCTTGAAGCCGGCCGGCGCGCCTCGGCGGCTTCCGCCGTCTGCAGGCGTCTTCCAAGAGCTGGAGGCCTTTCAACAGCTCCTGGCGCGGCGACGGACCCTGGAGGACACGGGGATTCTGCGCGACTGCCCCGGGGTTCGCGAAACCCTTCTCCTGGAGGCTTGGGGGGTGAAACACCCCCCCCAATTTGGTTTCTGGAGCGTGTGAAGTTGGGCTCCTTCTTCCTTTTCTTTGCCAAGTGTGTTTTGGTCAGAAATTGATTGGTTAGTCTTTAACCTGTCACTTAGCTTGTGACTTTGAGAACGGTAAAATAATGTGGGCAGTGGAACCAAGAAGCCAAGGCAACAGGCCCAGTGCAAGCGCCCGAATAAGCATAATGGGGGGGTTGTGGGGAACTATTAAACCCAAACTACTGTATGATCCTAGGATAATAATGTTTGTAGCTGTGTTCTTGATTTTTTTGGGGGGATCCTCAAAAATGGTGCTGTTGTCCTCTCGGTTTCCCGGTAAAACCCACGGAAAGTTTTCGGGTAACTCCAAGAAAGACGAGCCACCCACGTGTAGCTACTCACCCCTCCAGTCCACACCTTTTACAGGAAAATGGTCCAAACCAGGACCAGGGTAGCCCTTTCAAATAGCCCTTGGTTGGTGGTTTGGATGGGTGGTTTGGGATTTGACCGGGTCCCTGATTCTTATGGAGGGAAGATGGGGAAAACCCACCCTCCCCTCAACCAAAGGAGCCAATCCAAACCATTGGAAGGAAGCGGACCCTTAAGCCACCAAGCCAGACCTTGACCCTTAGACCTTCCAACCTCGCCTAGGACATCATTGCCATGGTGGAGCAAACCGATGCCGCCGGAGCCTCGGAAGGGCGATAGGCCTAGGTGCTTGGTATGGGAGTCCTGGTGGGATCTGCAGATTTTTTTGTGAGACCAAGAGAAGCTGAGGTCCTAAAAGGGGCTTCCTCTAAGACCTTGTTGGCTTTAGTCGGGTTTATGTTGATCTGACATTCACGCAGAGATCAACAAGACAAAGAGGTCGGCACCTTACCGGAGAATCACGGGTGTTTTGTCCTCGCATCCGATGTTCGTAACCCAATGTGTTAGAACCCAAGGTGATCGCCAAAGTCAGGACCGATTCTTGTCCGTCGCATGAGTTTCAATTGGACCCCTGACATCAAAGTTCGGTGGGGTTAATAGTGCTTCCTAAACTATATGTTCGCCAAGATGGTGTCCTTTTGGCTTCCCTTCAAGACAATCATTTTGAGAAGCTCCCATCTCCGCCTTGTGGCCATGATTTCCCAGAAGTCGGGTTCGGGGACCTGGGAGAGATTGGTGTGCCAAACCAGGTCAAACCACGACCACAAACCATGGTCAACTGCAGGTGTTTGTCAAAGGTGTGTCGTGGACCTCCCAAAGGAGCTATTGAGGGGGGGCTATCTGGAGCCCAGGATAAGCCAAAGAGAAGCCCCTGTTTATGATTTAATAAGGCCACAGTGTGGATGGACAAAATGGCGCGCCAGTTTGCATGAAGAATGGGAGAAACTCTTGTGGATTCTGGCAAGTTGATCTTTTAGGGCCTCAGAGTGGTTATATTTTGTGATTTCCCTTCTGATTCCTTTGCCGCATTGGAACACCCACCCAACGGGTGCTCGCCCCACCCCGTTTTCTCCTCGTCGACTTTAGGCGCGGGAGGCGGTGTTCGCCTTCAGCGAGACGAAGGCGGCGCCGGAGATGCAGAAGCTGCTGGCGCTGTGCACAAAGCTGCCGCCCAGAAGCAGGCGCATGCGACGACCCCCGTGCCATTCGGGCGCGCGGCTTTTGCGGCGTGCGTGGGGGTTTGGCGAAGCACCATCCGTTGAAAACAAACCAACGTAGGTACCTGGAAGATCAACCATGTCAGGTGCCACGGCAACATGGGAAAGGGGGGTAGCCTCTAACGGGAGAATCCGTCACGGCAAGGGCCATCGGCCTGAAGCGGCTCCGCTTCCTCCTGGAGCCTTTGAAGCGGAACCTCACGCAGGAGATTGCGTTAGCGCGAGCGAGCGCTGGGGTGGTTCTGTCGATCAGGTCGAATCATGGATGAGGGATGAACGGGGGGGGGCTGGGCGGAGAGGGGGGGGGAGGGGCGTCTGTTTTGAGTTGGATGGTGTTTTCTTCGGCCATAGATGGAAATCAAGGGAAACCAAGTTGTACAGTTGTACTAAAATTTAGGGTTTCCGGTTCCAACCTGAAATGAAAGGCGGACAGGTTTTTGGTTCTTTGCCATGAGTTTTGAGTAGACTCAGGTGCACAGCACCCAAAAGGGGCCCAACGGCAAAATCACCCCAAGCAGGCCCCGAATGCTTAGAGATGTTTGGCCCGGAAAGAGTTTGAAACTAGGTGGGCAAATTCAACATGTGGATTTCGGCTGAAACCTCTTCGTTTCCCTTTTGACAACCAAGGTGACTTCAAGGATACCCGCCCAAAAAATGGAGTTCCGTTTCGCTCGCCTTTTGCAGGCGACGCCACGGGGCGTCGGAAAAAACACTCAGGTGATATCCCCAACAGCAGACGGCGCTCTTGTTAGTGCTCGCACCACCCCGCAGCCCTCGCAGAACCTCGTGGAACCCTTGTGGAACCTTACCTCAGGGGCGCCCCGGACCACCCCGGAGCCTATCTGGGCTGAGACCCCAAAGCTTTCAGCTGTTGGGGGGGGGAAAAGAAAACTGGAGAAAAAAAAAGGAAAAAAAAGAAAAAGAAGAAAAAACAACTTCGCGAGGAGCTTCTGGACCAGCTACGCCGCAGCGGGCGCTGGCCCCGGGAACCTTCCGCCACAGGCGATCGCTCGCTGCTCGCAGGGCATCAAGCTGTGGTGTCGTGTTTTAGGTCTAGGGGGGTGATTCCTTTTCCATTCTTTTCAACCATTGTTCTTTCCAAAAACCGGCCGATTTTTTCCCTGGGTTTCCGGAGGTTTTCTAGAAAGAAGGATCACTGGAAAGAATGGGGAAGGTACCCCTACATTAGGGCGCCTCTTGGGTGCAGAGTAGCATGGGACCCAAAGAATACACCCATTTTGTACAGAGGAACCTCCTCTTGGGGTTCATGGACCGCCTGTTTCCGGTCCTCGGGTTAAAATGTCGTTACGGTTTTGCCGCCGTTGGCGGGTTGCTCAATGACTTTTGGGGTCTCCAAACATGAAATTTCCTCACTGATTGAGTTCCTGGACTTGAGACTTGCGAAGACCATTTCATGGTCGTCGTTGGGAAGCATTTTGCATCTTTGCTTGCAACCAAGATTCTAGTAGTAAATTGAAAAGGTGGACTGCTTTAGCCAATCCAAGTGGGTTTCTATTTTTTAGGGTAGGCGAAATACGGAGCAGAATCAGACAATCATAGCTCGCCCCATCCCCCCCCCAGATTTGGGCCAAGAATATCTCACGCTCCACTTTGTGAGGGGGTCTCTTTTGAGCGGGGATTCGCTTCTACTGCCATGGAGTTTCGCTCAGAGGGTGTTTTGGCACGATGCAGAGATGCCTAAATCCACAATTGGAACCCAACTTGAGGTTGCAAGTGTGGACCTCGCATGAGCAACAAGCACAAGACAACTACATGGCAGAATCCACCTGGTAGTAGGTCGCTTCATGAGAACTCTTTTTGAAAAACAAGGTTTCTACGTGCAAGGCTGGCTTTCTCTAGCTTGATCGGAGAAAAACCGAATCGGGGGTCCCCTATTTTGACGCATACTCATGTCTGGTGGCAGAAATTGGTAGCCTGTGCTCAGGTCCAGTAGGGCAAGTGAGCTTTTCTGAGGACGCCCTTGAGTGTTGAATCTTCAACTTTGGAAAATGTGTGGTTTCACGAAAAGTTGAAGTACGTATTATTTTGGTCCTCGTGTCCAACCACTTGGAACGAAACTTGGCTGTTCGTTTCTCCGCAACCTCCGGTCCATGTTCCGGGCTAAGTTGCACTGCGGCTTTGTAGTGGTCAGCCAGCCTTTCTTCACGGCGTCCGAGCAATTTCCCTTGCTTGGCACCTCCAACAATGGCTTTCTCGTTTCAACAGCAGCCAGCAAAGGGAACTTTTGCAACTCCGGGGCCAGCACCAATTTGGCAGCCTCTGTTTTCCCCCTCGATTTGGGGGGGGAGATTTCGCGTGGCCAGTCCACGGGGCGCTCTCGCAGGCGGCGCCGCGCCCGGGGCGACCCAGCGAGCGCTGGAGCTGTGCTGGAAGCTTCGGGAGGCACAGAGGGCCAGCGAAGGCGCGCGGACTGGGAGTCGGGTGGCGAGTGGCGGAGGCAGGTGAGGTGCTCGAACTCGGGCATGTTGAACCCCGGGAAATTCGTGGGTTCTTCGGGTTTTTGTGTTGGTTTCCCTTTCAACCAATATCGAAAAGGGGATAGGTTAGGGATGTCCGCTGTCTGTAAGTCGGGGGGTTCCCCTTCCTGGCGGGTATTTGTTGAAGCATCGAAACCCAAACCACATTCAAAGGGTAACCGTTGAGTGAAGGTTAGGGACAATCTCGACCAGGTTTGGATATGCGCCCTTTGAATTCTTTAGCATGGCCCTTGAACACCTCCAAACCGGGCCTCAAACCACAAGGGGAAGCTGATGGGTTTCCCGATCTCATCTTTGAGCGGCCCCAAGGGCTTTGCCCCTTGGACGCCGAAACAATGCCAGGATCTCTTGGCCACGCTTGGGGGGTTGTGTGTGTGTGTGTATGTGTATTTGTTGTTGAGGGTATCTTCTTTTTGCTTTCAACAACCCCACATTTGACAGCATCACGTTTGCCCGCTGATTCAGGATCCGGATCTCTTTGAAAAGCAGATGGCTTGTGGATGTATTGCTTGAGGAACCCTAAAGATATCGCCATGTGTCACCTGGAAGCGGTGGTTTCACCATGTCCATCGTTTCCTTGTGTGTGGGTGTCATGTGTGAAAACCACCAGGAGAGAGGGAGGATTTGAGGCCCATGTTCCAAGCCATCCTGTTTCCTGAAGAGGCAGCAACTGCTCTGTCTGAAAATTGTTTTAAGGCGGCCGAAGGGGATGTTAATTGAATTTTGCACACCACCCAGGATGCATGTAGGAGTTTGCTTCCTTCAATTTCTCAGGCAACCAAGATCGGGGAGGGATTTGATTCTCGGATCTCGCAGGCTTCCAGCCTCCGGACGAGGAGCGGGGCGCTCGGGCACAGGACTCGCATGGGGGGCACCCTTGCTTGGGCTGGTTTGAATTGAAATTGAAGGAAAACCGCCAATTTTGGGGTTGGCCTATAAGGAGACAAAACCCACCTGTAGCTGTCGGGGCAGTTTGCCCCAATGACGACCGCCCCAGATGTGAGGCGCAGGTGGGCCCTTTGGTCCAGTTTCGGTTGAGATCTCCGTTTGGTTGCCATTTCAAGGCGGATTTTCCTGGGTGAAGTCTTAAAATGGAAATGTGCCCTGGCAAATCTCGAGTGGAGGTAGATTATTCCTGCTTCAGCAACGTATGAGATGTATGCTCTGTAGATGGTAGATTCGGGGAAAAGCCGATCAGCAGGGAACATGGCTTGACCACGTGTCCCAATCGCTTGCTCCAGCCGCTTCCGCCAGGAGCTGTGGCCCTGTGAGGCGCTCGCAGCGCCGCTGCTGTCGCGGTTCCGGCACCACTTCTGCCGCCCCGAGAGCGCGCCTCGGCTCCGGCTGAGGGCTGGCTGGGCCAGGGGCATCCCTAAGCCGTTGATAGCGAAGGGCTCTTCAGCAGGGCTCCTTAGAAGATACATGTTGCAACCCTTTGAAGCATGGCATGTTTCCACCAAAGTAAAAGGACACCACCATGTACAAGGCAATGTTCAGGTGTATAATGTAAGGATCCCTGTTCAGGAATGGAGCGGAGCAACAGGTGGCACAAGATAGCACCGGCCAGCTGCACTAGCAAGTAGCACTGCCGAGCTGGACCATTGGGAGTTGTTTTTTGGCGGGGGGGGGGGGGAGCGGGTTCCCCTGCAAAAGTGGAGCATCCACCACACCCAGGGACACTTTGGCCCCCTCAAAGGAAACCACCGGTTGGATGGTTTGTACGGTTCATTCCATGTCTCACTCCCTGTAAGTCGCACGCGCCCGCAAGTGGTGGGAACGGAACCACGGGGACAGCCTCAGCGGAAGCCACAATCGCTTGGGGTCATCCCAGCCTATCGAACCAGAGTGGCCAAAACGAGTTTGCCCTCTGTGGAAGTCATCCAAAGAAGCATCACACTTGTAGAGGAACGCCTTTCCAAAAACATACCCTTGTTGAGATTGCAGGTGAATTTGCAAAGGAGCAGAATCTTATAAAGCCCTTCGGCCCTGGGCTAATCCGAAAGCTGAAACAGTTAAGCCTTGAATTCGGCGTCCAAACCATGTGTTGGGCGGAACCTCTCGTTGTGCCTTTGTATGGGGTGAATAACCGAGTTTGCCTTTGGGGGGTAGCAAATTAAAGGGAGTCTATGGGGTGAGGATCTTTCAAACGGATCTTGGCGAAGAGAGGCTAATGGTGTAAGTTCCTCATGTGCGTTACTTCTTACTTCTTGGAAATCGCAATGACTCGCACTGGCACTTTAAGCTTGAGCCCTACCTGACTGCCTCGCGCTCAACTCTGTAAGCATGCCAGCCTGGCCTCCTTTGGTTGGCTCCCTTTTGCCTTCGGTTGGTCTGGCTGCCACTTGCCCAATCCGCAGTAGTTCTGGACTCCTGGATTTCTCTTGGCTTCTCCGAACTTTCTGGACGAGGAGCTCTTGCAGTCGGCTCAGGAGGCTGACCCCGGAGACCCATTGGATCCTTCCCTTCCGCAGTTGTTTCTGTCAGGGCGGCCCTTTTCTCTTCTTGGAAGTGACTTAAGCCTGCGAATTCTCCCGCAGACGAGCCTGGTATTGCTGTGGGAGCTGCTGAGAAGCCCTGCCGTCGCCCTCTCCCAGCGCTTGAACTCGGCGCTCAGTGCTCCCGCCCTCTCCGCCCCTGCTGAAGTCGGACTGCCACCTCACAGAAGCGGGACGGGCGGTTGCTAATCATTGCAGCAGCCAGCGGTAGACGCAACCCTGTTGCTGACTCTCCAGCTTCAACCTGTCCTCATTGTGTGGGCGTACATGGCGCGAGAGCATGTTTTACCCCCTGATCTGTTTCCTGCTGCGTGATGGCCCGGCGTTGCGCGTGGTGATGTGGACCCACCATGGATGGCAGGCCTGTTAGGCCTGCTAGTCTTCAAACGCCACAGCGCTGCAGCACACCGCCATGATCATGTGGTGCTCGTGCGTGAGTAGTGATTTCGCTCTGTGTGCTAACATGGCGGCTCGGGCTAGCTGCGACAGGGGCCGGGGACGTGAGCGTGAGGGGTGGCTTCATAGGCTGTGCGGGCTGGAAATCGTGCTGTTCCTACCGGCTGGCTTGGAAGTTTGTTATGACGGTGTTGACCACTTAAACCGCCTTGTTTGAAGGTGCTTGTGTGCAAGACGATCCGTCAAGTCTCGTGGAGTATAACGAGTGGCAGTCCGTGAGCTCCGGGACGACCGTCAGGCAACTTGCGGAGTTGGGGCCGATGGGATTTCTGCCCTGGCCAACGCTGCAACGCTGCCAAACCTCCCAACCAGCATCGACGATTGGCTGGGTTCTCGTGATGATCTTTGCCAACTTTTTTCACTGGCTGTCGGCGTCCTTGCGTCCAGTGTTCGGTAAGATCCGGTAAGGTGGGAGGCTCGGCTTGGCCGCAGATTGCGGAGCAGAGGCATGCAAAATATGGTGAGCATGAAGGATGTTGATGTCAAGTGTATTTCACTGCCGCACACAGTAAGCGTGACAAGTCAGATTCGGCTTATTCAAAGTTGAACTGGGGCCCAGCAACAAGTTCCAACAATCGAAGACAGAAAGCCCATAAACAATGACGGCAGCCTTCCGTCCACCTCCGCGATCATTCGAAGGAAGGTGTGATTAGCCATGGTTAACTTCATCATCAGGGACGTCGCGGTAGTGACCAACCTGTGATGTTTGGCTCAAGTTTGCGGGTCCGTCGCGCCTCGGATGAGCGTCGCCGGGTCCCTGCGTCGATCACCTTCGTGTCGGTGGAGAAAGAGACATCGGCCCGGGGCAGATTGGTGGGGTCCGCCCGTGCGGTTCATCGTCGATCAAGGTTGCGGGTACTTGTTTACTTGTTTTGGTATTTCCCTTTTGGTTGTTGTTCTCTGGTGTGTGGGAAACCCTGATCTTTGGGACCGGGGATTGGTTTGCTTTTGGGGAACCTTTCTTTTGTGGCTTGTTTACCCCAACTTACCCATTGCCTGGGCACAGGCTCGTGCCCGAATCACAGGTTATCAGCCGTAGGACTTTCCTACGCGCTTGAGACCATCAACTACAAGCTCTATGTCGACCCCACGATCTCGAAGGAGCGTCGTGGATGAGGAGGCCATCCTAGGGGGCCTCCGCTCAGGTGAGGACCTACCGGACTACGACTACGAGGATTTCGAAGCAGGTTCGACAGGTCAGGATCGCAGGGGTGAAGATCCCGGTAGGGACACACCCAGGAGCCGTGGCAGGTACACCGACGATGGAGACGATCGCATTTTCCGTCAGGCCACTGATGATGAGCAGACACGAAGGGTTCGCTCCGATAGGAGCGGCTCTGAATCAGGTCACAGGCGCGGACAGTTCGACTTCATCAGCATGGCGATGAACATGGCCCGCCCTCATTCGGACGACCCGGAGGCCATGCCGATCCGACCCCCGAGATCTCTTGTTCCAGGTGAATCGCAGGTCTCGGACGAGTTTGAGAACAGGCCGCAGGGACCAGGGACTATGGTTTTGGCTCCGGGAGGTATCTCGGGTCGATCCACTGGTTCTCAAAATCCAGGTCAGTTTGATGAGGACGAGGAGAGGAAATTCACGGGCTTCGGATACGATGCTCTGGTGAAATCAACCGCGGGCTGGGGCAGTAGCTCAAAGCAGGGATCTGATGCCGATAGGCCCAACCCTGTAGCTGCCGAGTTTGAGTTTGATAATGATGAAGATTATGCCGCATTTGCGGATCGTCGTGATGAAGAAGAGGATCAGTCGCGCCGGAACGCTAGAATCCGTGCTGCCGCGAGACCCAGGAGCCTCTCTCGTGGAGCTGCCAGGGACCTTCATGTTGACAGGGACGCCCGGAGCGAGAGAGAGGAAGCCAGGGATAGCCGGGAAGTTCTTAGGGGATTGGAGGCCATCCATGACCGGGAGGGACCGATAGGTCCCCCAGTGGTTGGTGATGCCCCGAATGTTCCCCCTTTTCCCAATATTACATTTGGAGGTCCGCTGCATCAGAGAGACGAGAACTCGAACCGGGTTACTGGTTCGCCGAGGATCACTGAACGGGCTGCCGATGTCGTTGGGACAGGTGCGAGAGATGGTCGGCTTGCCGATGCACTCGGAATCGAAGATCGTCCGTCGATCGCTAGCCCGTTAGGGCGAGATACCAGTGACCTTGAAACGCTAAGGTCTAGCAACGAGTTCACACCTCAATGGGGCTCGACCGCCAGGGAACGTAGTGCTTCTGCGAAGAGGCCGTCACCCCTGACTATTGAGACCGATAGGTCAAAGGCAAGGAGGGCTAGCCCCTCGCCAATGGGTTCAACTCCGCAGGATGAGGAGATGCCTGATCCTGCTGATGTTCACATTCACTCTACTCCCGAGTCTCGTGCACCCAACATTGATCCCCGACCTGGCGATAGCCGGAGAAGGGAATCTACCCCTAGCAGGCCATCCAGGATAGGTGATGGTCCTGTAGGCGAACCCAGAAGACTTGCTAAAGCTGGTGGGGTTCCTGAGAGGATCGAGATATCGACTCCTCCAGCCCTCAGATCCCAGTCTTCCGGTGAGTCAGGTGACGCTAGGGCAAAAGAGGTGTTCGATTTGCACATCCAGGAGATGCTCGAGAGGGGTGAGGTGTCTGGTTCAGTCGCGAAGGCGTTCCATATTTTTGCTGACCAAATCAGGTTACTGAACGGTCAGGTGAGTTCCATGCGAAAGGAGTGGAGCGACGAGAATCGGCAGACAAAGGACAAGGTCAATCGCCTGGCGACTGAGGTTGCGACTCAATCTGATGCCGGTAGGATGCGAATGATAGTTCAACGGTTTGCCAAGGAAGTTATTCCTGACAGCAAAGCCATTGTGAGGCAAGCCATCGATGAACAGGCTGAAATCGTGGATCAGAGGATCAATTTGCTTTCCCACGAGGTCCATGAATCTGTTAAGGACAATGAGATCGCAACTGGTCAGCTTATTCAGATGATTAAGGAGAATCGTGAGGCCAACCGCAGGAGTCATGCTGCTTCCGAGGATGAGATCCATAAGGACTTGGACAAGCTTGAAGGGCGGATGTTCTCGGTAGAGAAAACCGTTGGGATGCGGACGCCAGCAGGTGAATGGGATTTGAACCCTGCTGCGCAACCGCCCGATAGGGCTACCAGCAGTGGGGCAAACGCGAGCTTCAGGGAGTTAAACCTGAAGCTCGAGAAGGCTCTTCTTGAACACGAGAAGTTTGCTAAGTGGGCCTCCGAATCTATTGGTGGCATTAATGAAGAGCAAATCATTCTTGCTAATCGAATGTCGAGGCTGCAAAGTGGGAGGGGGTCCCAGGCGATCGATAGATCATCAGGGCCTGTGTCCCCGCAGGACTGGCATGAAGCAAT